TAAGAACATAGTCACGAAATGCCACGCTCTTCAGGCTGTAGTATTCTTCTTCGATATGCGTCTGCGCGCTTTTTATAGAATTCAACACCCCGTACACATCCAGCGGCTGGATATGACTCCCGACCTCAGGCTGCAAATAAAACAAGTACACGCCGTACTTCCCCTCGATAACTTCTTCGAGATACTCTTCGCAGATTACATGAGCCGGACAGACATCCAAGATAAGCGCCAGCAGAATCTTCTCGCCTCTCAATTTCTCCAGTTCCCTTTTCTCTACGCAAATCCTTTGAATTGTCCGCGTGAATGCTGTCGAATCAGCAACGTGCTCACCGTTAGCATTCCCGTCGCGCATAATGTAGCAACTCCGCCCCCAAACTTCTTCGATCTCGTCCTTGATCGCTCGCGAGGGGTACGCCTGCCCTAGTATAAGTGTCGGCTTAAATTGGATATCCATCCTGTCCGTGACTATGGCGCTAAATGTGACGCCCGCCCTACTGTCCTTCTTTGCGCTTATGTTGTCCCGATTCACTCGCTTCGTCTCATGTTTTGGTATCACCGCATTTTTCTCAGCCCTGTGCATCTTCATGTGGGTTTCGTCCAGATTGCAACGAATCACCAGCGGCGTCCCCCCATCCTCGAAGTGCATCTGCGCACACCTGTCGCCCAGCTTTTCCATGAACCTCATCCATCTCCCCCAAGTAAGTCGCACCTCGGCCCTCACCTGCGTGTCCTGTCTCGCGTGGTTCGTCGTCATGCGCTTCGTACTTTTCAAATCGTAGCGCATGAAGAACTTCCGCATCCAGTCTATGCACCCCTTCGACCCGGGCCCGCTTCTACTACCGTAATAGCTTCTGTCTCCCTTTTCCCACATCAATGCGCAAAAGGTCATTCGAATTTTGTGCGTTGATGGTGCTTTCAAACCTAGGCGATTACATTCGCGAACCCATTGGGCCATTTCTTCTTCCACTTCTTCCCTGATCTCGTTAGCCTTTCCCCCCCTGCTCGAAATACGTTTCCGCTTCGCATGGTATAAAGAGGCGGGCGAGCTATTTCTGATACGTTCAAGCTTCGCGCGTTGATGTTCCCGGAGTGTAGCCTTGATGTATGCGCCTTCTTCTTCGAAGGCACACGGATCAAGGAGCTTCGCCCGCGCGTTTCCTTTCCCTTTTGCACGAGACGCACCGCGACTTTCGTCCCCCTCAACCCCCCCAATAGCGCGAATCATCTCGCCACTAATACACGCCAAATCCCTCTCAAGGTACTCAAGCCTCTCGCCCCCCTCTTGTTCGATTGCTCTCAGGGTCGCCAGATCGAACATCCCAAGCTCTTCATCTGAGTAAACCCCCAGCGGGCGCACCCTTCCAGCGAGAGACATCGTTCGACAGGCTCGTGGTGGTAAGGCTTTCCCTAATGGTATCTCCCTTAATAACAGTTTTCCCAACTGCTTCCAACTGCAATTCAACTGAACTTAAAATCCAATATACAAAGTAAGACGCTGGATTATTATTCGTAAATACTTTCAATTACAAACTCCAGCAAGATCCCCGCACAAACTTAAAATAATTCTAATTGCAAAAACTTCATCTCATGATCAAAACAAGCATGATCGCGCACCAACTACAAGACACGCCAGAAGATGATTTAGATTTTCATTCCAGGCGGCTGCACGAGAAACGTTCGCAAGCACTGATGAACACACTTTAAGAATTGATAAAAAATGCTAATCAACGCTTGGAGATACACAACATGGGTTGGGTCACAAACTCCTTTTCACGTGTCATCCTGTTGTATGTTGGAAGAGAGATTGCCGTTGATATCTTTCACCTTCTTTAGAAGTTGGATTTTCTGATGATCTATAATTCTCCTTCCTCAATTCTCACCCGTTAATTCTATATCTCGACAGAATGGCTTAGATCTCGATACAGAAGGCCACATCGCGCACGTTTATTACTTCGCATGTTTCATACTAACTGCTTCTATTCACGGCTCTATCTATATGGGAGACTTTAGCGGGAAGGGTTTCGCACCACCTCCAAATCTTCTCATCACGAATGTGTTTAACGATGGTTCACACCACCGCAATAGGCTATTCGATCTCGTCAATGATACTTTCTTTTCTTTGTAGGACTAAAATAAACGTCAGTATTCTAAACATATCACTTGACAATGGCCAACAAGCAACACTCTACTTCCTTGCAAAATATCATGCTACGAATTCAATGAAAAAAATCAAAGTAAGGGTTATCACCACCTACCACACGAAGCAAGCATACTAATATGACGTAATGTAATAGCATTCTTCAATGTCCACGGACTCACGACTCGCTCCATGGCATTCCCTAAAACCACTCGTCAGAAGTCCAACCCGCCAAAACCATGGTCTTTTTTCATTAGCGCGAAGTAAACAAGGCTTAAAAAGGACAACACACACTTGCGCACTAGGAAGCTGCGCGTTTGTATTGTTTCTCCTCTCTAAACTCTTTTGCCTTAAGGAAGTGTGACAACCACCTTTGCCACTTGCCACGCCACTGTTTCAAAATCGATTTCCATACTCTCGAGACAAGCATAGCATTTGTCCTTATGGTCTTCTCCAAAGAATGGTCTCCCGTCGATTGTTAGAAACGAAATTACTCTAAATTCCCATTAGCAAACCTAGGTAGTACTGCCAAGGCGAAGTCGTCGAATGCCCTAAACAAATATCTTTCAGGACCCCAATGTCGATTTCTGTGTATTACTCCCCAGGCGTACTTTGATGCGATCTCCCTCTTCTAGCGAGTGAAAACATTTTACTCACAAACAGTCAATGTCCACTAATTTATTATTTCATCGACGCATAAAATCACAATCATGAAGATGCAATTCAATGCATTACGCCGCTGCTTCTCTCCGATTTTCCTAAGGAAAAGCTTCCTCATAGTGCAAAACTTGCTTTTGCAGTACATGCGAACAAAACCAGCACGCTGTAATATTTGATGTACAATTGTTCCTTAACAGGATCACAAATCCTCGACAGTGATAACATTTATTTTTCCTCGAGATGCGAGACTGATTTGGGTAAGTCTTCTCCTGATCGCGCCTTAAGGTTATGAGCTTCACAAGCATAAATGAACTTTGAAGCATTTCAAAATATTTCAGGTACCTCATGCGGTTTGTAATCCTTCCAATGGATTCCAGCACGATATTTATCATGTGACTGCCCAAGCTCGTACTTGTTGACAACATTACGGTCTGTGAGGTACCTGGCAAAAAAGAGTTTGAAATTCCGACTGGATTGCATGCGCCTCCAACTTTCAATGTCAGTAGCATGATACATTTTTGCTTCTTCAATTTCATCTACACTCTCCATCCTGAATGACGAATAATATGTACCCCACACGTTCCGCGTCGACTTCTGATGCGTATTCGATCATCCAGTTGTACCCAGTTGGTCGACCTTGATCAGTTAGGCCGGAGAATTGTCGCAAGCGCAAGATTAGAGCTTTCAATCTTTTTCTTATGATGACTCACATCTCTTCCGTTAGTGCGATCACGATTTACATCAAATGAGCAATCTTTTTAAATCTTCATGATAATTATCCATCATAATTTTATAAAATTCTGGGCTAACGTATGGTCCTCCTTCTCTGGATCGTCGCTCCTCTCTTTCTCGAAGTACTGGCGGCAGACCTGGGCACATGTGGGTAGACAATCAACTTGAAACTCCTATACCATTTCAAATGATAAATAATTACTATTTTCAATCTATGTCTTTAAGCTCGAATGTATAATACCAGATGTAGCATTCTTGCGCACACCTAAGTATTACTACTTATACCTTCCATAAAGGACAGGTCTCTTTGCATTCACCATTATTCCTTCCCTGTGCTACTGACTCTTCACTTCGTGGCTGCGAAGCTCCCACACTCTGTGACGCTGCAGCTGCTGCATGAGATGCCTCTACCGCTGCACGATTTGGTGTCGCACCAGTAAGCAGCCACAGCGTGGGAGTCTTCTCCTGATCGCCCCTTGCTGTTGTGACTGATGTCTCAGCAAGGATCTCTGCACCAAAAGGCACACCAGCTTGCTCTGACGCTTCATCCGCCTCTTCAGGATCATTCTCAGCGACTACTGATTCCTCCTCAATGTCATTTCCTCCTAGCTGTTGCAACATCTTCTTTCGCTTCTCTGGATTCAATTTTTTGAGCATCTGCAGAAATTGCTCATCATCTGATCCTGAATCTTGGGGAGGTGCACGCTTCATGCCAGCGCTGTTATTCATGTTGCAGATGTTACTATTTTGCTTCACGTTACCACTCGCACTGGCAGAGCTACTAGATCCAGCAAAGAAAGGATTGTTGCTGCCTCCGAAATCTGGACCATTCGGGTTGCTTCCCCCGAACCCGAACCCAAAACCTCCAAGAGACATTCTCAATGTTGATGAAGGCTTACTAGTACCCGAATCAGTCTCGCAATACGTTTACTAGGAATAAGAACAAAGAGAATAAACACTGACGAAAGAGAACACTAATTCCAGGACTATTTTATTTTTCCTACGGAGTCGATATTTTGAAACTATGAATTTTTCTGAGCTTTATTACAGAAAAAAAATGGACTTCAGGGGACGGGATATGAAAATGAAAACGTCTTAGAACTCCTGAATAAATTTTTTTTTGCAATGATCAACATCCTAACGACATATGCGACCATGTTTAACTCACCACGAGACCCACATAGAAAATTTTTAATCACTCGTCTTCATTAACTGCACGATTCATCCTTCTTGAACAGAACCCGAATCTGTGTTCCCATCGATTTTTTCATCAAGGCAATCACTCGTCCTCATCTCCCGACGCTCTCATAATAAAAACCCATCAGAAACAAACTACATCACCAGATCAAAGGTCTCTCAAATTTTCGGAGTTTCAAAAAACTCTCTCCAGCCAAGGAATTCAACACATTCGTCAGGCCATTCTAGTACATCCCACATATACGCTACCTCTCCCTATCAAATTTTATTCATTATCTGCAAAATTGGCGAACTTAAATATCATGATATAACGATTATTTTTATCCTTCACCTACATTTTTCTCCTTCGCCTACGACATATATATGATTAAACTTCAAGTCAAACTCAGTATTATCTCACACATCCGATCTCTACCATCTTTCTTTAAGACCTAACATATTCCTACTTACTCTTTCTTTTCGTTGTCATCGTCAGAATTAATATTGTTGAAATATGCCTCATCTAATAAAGTCTGTATATCACTGGCTGCAATACAAGACCAAATGCATCCTCCGGACCTCTATGGTCACAATCCCAGTTCAACTTTGGCCCTCCCTGCGACGACAAATCTAAACAGAAGCTCCATCGGCATAACAATCTTTCGCGACGCATTGTTGGCACTACTCCCAGATGGCATCGCCTTGATTAGAAGAATTCTAACACTTGTGATACCCCAGACTAGATATGATGGTAGATGATGAATCCAGAGACTTACAACTGACGTGCTTGAAAAACTGACTAGTACTTTTCAGCCCATAAAGATAATCCGTCCATTGAACAATTCCGAAACCGTACGCCGTCAAATCCACTCCATATTCATGCCCGAAGCAAGTCGGCATTTCTGGAAAAAGAACTGATCCAGCCACCATTTCGGAACTAAAGGCAGGCAAAATTGGCGGCGGAGGTATCGGCACACCAGTGGTGAACCACGACTCCTGCGTTCCAACATTTCTATTTCTGCTATGTGACTCGAGAATTTCGGTTTCCTTATCGATGCATCTACTAATCCCAGCCTCCACCACCGAACAATTTTGAAGTCCTCCATCTACACTCGTACCACTACTAGATGATTGGCCACCTCCTCCTCCATGCGATACTCCAAGTCCATCGCCACCACCAGTCATGACATTATCAAGCGCGCCTAATTCTCCCTCATCCACGCTACCTCCAAGTGCTACTGCGCCACTCTGGCCACGCCTCGGCCATGTCAAAGGTGTACTCAATGGAAGAGGACTAGAGACCTCCTGCAACGGGACATCTCTTGTTACTCCCGCTGACATAGACTCTACTGGAGGAGATGAAGGAGGAGGAGGAGGAGGGAGAGAAGGTATTCTTTCTAGAGGCTCATCTGTGGAATCCACACTCGGAGGAGCGATCCCATCGTATGCGCCTGAGACTGGAAGTAAAGAATCTCGATTCACTTCTACCTGCTGGTCCACTACCTCTCCAACCACAATTGTCACACCCCGAGCTTCCTTCCGTTCCCGTTTCCCTTTTCTGTTCTTGCCCATTTTTTACTCCAATATTACTCCACAACCTACCCACCTTCTACGCCTACTCGCCATCTACGCACCAGAATAAATCTTCAAAAATGATCATCCAGGAACTAATCATCCAAGAGCCAACAATTGAACTAATCATCCAAGACCCAACAATTGAACTAATCATCCAAGAGCCAACAATTGAACTAATCATCCAGGAGCCAACAATTATTCATGCCTATCCTCGAGGACGACAGCATAAACAAAATCACACTCCCGAGAGACGAGCTAAATCTTTCTCAGCCTGGGCCACCGAGCTCCAAATCGCCTTCACTTATTCAAACGACAGACGCCTCTCCTCGACTTTGAATACGTAGACAATCACACACACCCGCGAGACAAGCGAAGTCTTTTTATCGATCGTTCTCGAGCTCCGATCACCGATCACAAAAACGCTTCAATTTCTAAACACAACAGGCAAGCTTATTTTTTCTTATTATTCTCACGTTATTCTTTCTTTCAGACCTCAAGATTTGCGACCACCTCCCCATACCAACGCAAGGGAAAGGCTTTACTTCCACAGTTTCCAAGGCTGTCATACATCTACATTGTTCACTTTTCCGAAACCAATATGATGAATATATCGTAGGCTCACAAATTCTTACTGTAGACAAAATTTCTATTTCTATCCACCTACACCTATCAAGTTTGACAGGATTTTTAATTCTAACTACCAATCCAGTATTTCATCTTCTTTTCAACTACCTCCGAGAAAGAACCTTTACAAAACATGTAACAACTTATAGGATTCACACAATTTCGAACCACCTCTATTGTCACCTACAAAATTCAAAGAACACCTGTTCCAGAATTCATACTATCTCAATGCATCTATATTCTAACCTACACAATCACCTACTGCTATGAAAATCAACTGGAAAGCAAAAAAAAACAATAATCAACCAGCAGCCACCAGGTCGCACCCTCCAATGACCCGAGAAGGAAAAAGAAAAACAGAAATTGATGAGAGGCAGACAGGAAATTGGGAAAAGTTAACTCCAGGGTAGTAACAAGGAAACCCTTTTCTTCTCACATTTCTCCTACTATCTTCCCTTTTCCGTTTCTCATCTGCCTGTTCCTTTTTTTTTTCTGACTCCTGTCATTGGAGGGTGCGACCTGGTGGCTGACGGGAACTACCTGACATATATTGACTCAGCTCTCTTGATATGTATGTTGTACTACGTCCGATTCAGTGACTTAGCTATTATGAGATCTAGTAATAAAATAATTATGCTAATGTGCTACCATCCCAGTAGCTAATGCTCTTACTTCTACAAACTATGGTTTAGTTATCTTGATATGTATGCTACTTAAAGATAATGAGACTATGGAAGCGTGCAAGTATTCAGGGTAGGCATTCGATATCTACAGGGAGGGAAATAGAGATGTCGTTTCTTACTTCTGATAGATAAGCGGACAAACAGTGACCGCAGGCGGGGATTGGTTTGGATTTAGTTGTGTAGACTACTTTTTCAAGTGTGCAGATGGTGTCTCTCTGTTTAGCTTGAGAATTTTCTATATCAACTTCTTTCTTAGTGCTGTAACCGTCAGTATTAATGTTAAGACGTACTGGGATGGTAGCACTGTAAGCGATTGGGGCTGGGTCAGAAAAAGACTCTCTGTCAGGTGTTGCATTTTTCGGAAAAGCTGGGCGGATTGTTCCAGATGTCTGCAGGGTAAGCCAGCGCTTCCAAAAGCCTTCCGAGCCAAGCATGCTCTTGAGCATTCGGATCGAGAGCTCGTCTAGCAAAA